TTAGAAACTTGTAAGGTTGTTTAGGAAAAGCAGATCCAGTCAATTTTAAGCTTCCAATAGCAAAGCATAATTTTTACTAACATTATTAAATTGAACACAGAAACTTAAAAGCTGTTGCTTACCCTCCACAATGCAATGATGAAGTTGTTCTTGTCCTGAACACTGCTTGCTACCCACTTGTAAGTCTTATCAAAATGAAGATGAAACTCTGGATTTTCCTAAAAAGCAAATCAATGTCGCAATCCTAATCTCCAGGTTGTTATTACACATGCATCGCATGTATGTAGCCAGCATTCATTTGAACTTCCACTAAGGATGAATGGAATGCACAGAACCAATTTGATCATGCGCCTTTGGACCTTCTATCACTTGAAATCTGATCATGCAAAATTTGATGATGCATGTTTTGACTATCTGTCATGTGAAACTTACACAAAGCAAAGCGCTGGAGCAAAAAGCGTTTTGACCTTCGATCATTGTCATCTGCACTCCGTATCCTTTGGTTATTACCGTATTTTATTGGCTATAAGCCGAGCCCGGCTATAAGCCGAGACCCTAAACTTTTAACTCACAAAACATTCAGCTATAAGCCGAGACCCAGTTCTTAAAATGTATAAGAGCTCATGAAAAATTTTAACCACATTTAGCTTTTAAAATCTGTTAAAATGAAATGAAAGAACGGGTTACGTAATTATCCAAAGGCACGGAATATATGCGTATTTATCTTAGTTTTATTAAGTCCATAATTTTTGTTCAGGTTAAACTCTCGGCTATAAGCCGAAACCCCCTCTACAAGTCAGATTTTAATTCAAGTTAGGCTAAACATGTGTAAAAATCGCTCGGCTTATAGCCGATAAAATACGGTACTAGTATATAAGGAATTAAAGATGATGCATCTAGAGCCATTATTAAACAGCCATCTCCCAAACATTGCAAGATGTGATAAGAAAGTAAGAATGGATGTTTTGAAGGCTCTGCTTTTTCAGCACCAGGTATTCTGCTTCTGTCTCCAGGGATAAGTATGTAATAACAATATTACCATACCTGCTAACTCTCCCGGTTTTCCCAGGAGTCTCCAAGTTTTTTATCAAATCTCCCGGTTAGAGCACCAGATCTCCTGGGAAATACGTACCATGGCCTTTTTCAAAATTTTTTCATTAATTTCGTTTTATTTTTGAGATGTCATAGCCTGCGAAAACATCCATTTCTCCTCGCTTTTTGCCGCTGGGACGTTTCACAAGGAGGAACGTCTGTGACTCAACGACAGAAATTCCATACTGATGACGTAAAATCTGTCTGGAATCTGGTCAGAAGAGCTGATTGGTTGAAGGAGTAGTTACATCGTTTTAGCTATTGTTTATGAATGACAGACAAAGACAAAAGGCCCCAAAGGTCAAATGTAAATGCGAAGAATCTCTAACAAAACAGTCAATATTTGTGGAATATAGTCTTCTCTAGAAGAAGCATTTGAGTCTTGCTGGAGCTCGTTGGCAGATGAACACAACACTTCACCAAAATCGACCAGAAGACACGCAAAATTGGACAAATTTATATTTGGAACCCCATGACTACCAGATTCATTATGTAAACATTGATTTGCATTATCAGCATGGAATTTCGGTCGCTGAGTCGCAGACGTTCCTGCTCACGAAACGTCCCCAGCGACAAGAGATGTCAAAAAGGAAAATAAAACAAGAAGTGGGTTTAGTACTCTTATTTGAGCTGTTCTCGATCGGAAAATGTAAAACAGACCGATCAAATTGATATATATAATTTAATGCATATAGTTATTGGTTAGAAATCAACCAATCAAATTGGACGATACATGGTAGAAAGTTGGCACGGTTTCGCATCCAGTTATCGACGTCGGGAACATTCAGAAGGCCTTAGGGTGATTTTTGGAGAGTATTCAGACATTGTCGAAAATGAATTTCTTACAATGCAAAGAATTCTAGACCTCTCCAGATTTTTGTACTCCGGGGGTTGGCAGGTATGTATTACTCATCTGGTTTTAGTACCTTCAATTACACTGACATGCAACAATGCTGGCTTCCTTTGAGTCAAATGCCTTTCACACAGCTAAACAGCGAGAAATAAACGAAAAGTTGAGCATGTGCTGTAACAACTGCTTGTGATCTTCCCACCTAATTGCAATCCACTCTTCTACTAAGGAGAGCCAAAATAAAAGATCTCTATGTCTATTTTATTAAAACGCATTTATGATAGCCTAGCACCTGTAGTTAATCAAAATAATAGAAATGCTCTGACCTTCGAGGATGTGGCCCAAGTAGTGTACTGGTCTCAAGTAATTTTTACAAATGAGATAAGTTAAAAAAAAAGAAAAAAACCCAAGCAAGGAAAATATTACAATTTGGAAACTTGTCAGGTTGTTTAGGAAAAGCAGATCCAGCCAATTTTAAGCTTCCAATAGCAAAGCATAATTTTTACGAACATTATTAAATTGAACACAGAAACTTAAAAGCTGTTGCTTACCCTCCACAATGCAATGATGAAGTTGTTCTTGTCCTGAACACTGCTTGCTACCCACTTGTAAGTCTTATCAAAATGAAGATGAAACTCTGGATTTTCCTAAAAAGCAAATCAATGCAAAAGGAGATGAAATTATAGCCCGCGAACGGCAGACGTTTCTTCTCACTCATCGCAACTGAGGGACGTTTCGCGAGGAGGAACGTCTGCAACTCAGCAACAGAAATTCCATACTGATGACATAAATCAATGTTTACATAATAAATCAGGTAGTCATGGGGTTCAAAATGCAAATTTGCTCAATTTTACTTTTCTCCTGGTCGATTTTGGAAAAGTGTTGTGTTCATCTGCAAATGAGCTCCAGCAAAACTCAAATGCTTCCTCTAGAGAAGACTACACTCCACAAATATTGACTGTTTTGTTAGAGATTCATCGCGTTCACATTTGACCTTTCTGGCCTTTTGTCTTTTGTCTGTCATTCGTAAACAATAGCTACAACAATGAAACTACTCCGTCAACCAATTAGCGCTTCTGACCGGATTCCGAACAGATTTTGCGTCATCAGTATGGAATTTCTGTCGCTGAATCACAGACATTCCTCCTCGCGAAACGTCCCTCATCAGCAGTGATAAGCGAGGAGAAATGTCTGCCGTTCGCAGGCTAATGAAATTATAACTTGTGTGCTGTAAGAATATCTTGCATGTCACTAACTCCATCCAAGTCAATGTTGTCTATTCTCACATTTGTTTCATCTTTGCCATCGATGAGCTTGAGGTCCTTCAGTCTCCAGTTTGATCTCTTCTTGTAAGAATCTTTTTCAGTTCTTTTAACTTGATAAATGGACACTGTTTCTGGTTTCACTTCAGTCACTAAAGAAGAAGAGGACATAAGAGTAAAAGCAAAAATAAATCTACAACAACTTCATGCTTTCGTTCTTTCTCCTTCTGCTTTCTTTAATGGGCTATTGCATTTAATATCCATACCCGCCCTCCACCCCCAGTTGACGAACCATGGAATTCTTCAGGGGCACAGTATAAAAACTGAGGATTTCTTTAGGGGTAGAATAAAAAAATATGGAATTCTTAGTGGGGTGGAGCTTTAATTTTCAGGAAAATTTCAGGGGTAGACCTATATTCTTCAGGAGTAAACCCATGTTTTGTGGAAGTCCTCAATGGTGAATGCAATTTTATTTAATCTTCAGGGGTACGAAGACAAAGTTAGTCCTCAACCGGTTGGGTACGTATATTATAATGCAATGGCCTATTTCTTGCAAAGCCCTGACAGTTACATGACTGTGCACCCATAAGCATATATATTGTAAGTGAGATCAAAATATATAGGCAATTGGCACCCCCTGGTGGAGAGCTCCCTTGTGAGAAAGCAGGAATGCTTCCGAAAATAAATTCTAGCCCTTAGATATACAAACAATTATTTAGCCATTCAAAATTGCCAGCTGACTCGCTGGCATAAAATTGTCCATGTAAACAGATACGGAAAGAAACACGACTTTTGAGAAAAGAAACACAAAATGCCAATTAAATGCAAATTAATCCATACCAGCCACACAAAGAAAGCTTGCTTTCTTCTTTTTGCCAACTTTAGTCACGCTCACAACTGCATAAAGTCTCTCCTCGTTTGGTTTGAAGAGATCTCGCTGCAGATTGTGTTTGATGGCCGCCATTTTAAGACCACTACTACTTGTGCCCAGGTTTCCGGGTTGACGCTCATAAAATTCGAAAGAGACTGTAAACTTCCTGTTCATAAATTTTACACGGATTTTTAATTGAGTTACAAATATTCTTTACGCATCATCCTTGTTTTGTGACCTTGTTCTATTAAATTTTAATAAGCACACTTGCTAAATCCAAATCTAATTCTGAAATTTGAACTATCATCAAGCTAAATATTTGAACTTTATGAAATGCACAGTCAAGAGAAGTCTATTTGAAGCGCAAGAGACTAGCTATCATAGTTTCTAAATTTTTCTAGAAGGCAGTTCTGTTTTTTTTCGAGGACGTCACGAAGGCCCTTCACCTTGGTAAAAATTTCATCACCAGGTTGCGTCTGCGACGATAACCTCCATATTTGGTAAACGACGGCTTATCGACTGTTCAAGACAATGATCGCGCCACTCGTTTTCAGTCTCCGATAAAAGTCATTTCGGTTAAAGAGGAGAGGGACAACAGCGTGTGGACCAACACCAAAAAAAAATTGTGATTTCAGATGGATTGGAAGGTTTCTGGCGTTTGGCATTTCTTTTGCCATGGCCGACACAGCTAGGAGGCAAGTATCTTGCGCGATCTTTTTTCAAAGTATTTTCAGATTAGGAAGTTGCTCGTCTTCGATCCACTGGGTCCTTTGTCGCATCATTGTGTTTTCCTTCGGCGCGGGCGTTCAGGATATGCGCGCGGATTTTTTATTTTTTTTACCCGTTTCTTTCTTGTCTTTTGTTCCGTTAATTTAACGAGCTGCTGTTTTTCTCACCTAGGAAAGGCACTGATCTGACGGTTAGAATGGCAGGAAAAGTAACTGCAGAGGGAAATCCGATTGTTGTTTCTTCGGGAAGTAGCTCGAAGACGACAGTCGGTTCACCAACTGGCGATGGAGTGCGCGATGTGCGCGACGACCGTAGTTGGAAAGCTTATGTTTCACAGATGGATTCTACCTTAGCAAATTCGCTACTGGTGAACGGAGAGGACTTAAGTATGGCGTCCAATCTTGGGTTTTTGTACGACTATTACGAAGTCACCGAGGAGTCAAACCCAGCACCCCCTTCTCCTTCTAATCAGGGGTACGTTTTTTTACGCCATGTTTGGTTTAGATAGTGACACAAATCCTGTGTAACTCATCGCAGTGTAAGGGACCGATCAGAACTGTTTATCGTTAGCCTTTTTTCATATCCCATGTGGTTAATAAAACCTGGCGAACCAAAGGGTGGATTGATGAATGTAAGCTTTTATGCTTGCTTTGATGTTAAGCTTATATAACATTTATAGAAGTCGCTGTAGGTTTTTTCCTCTGGATCATTAAAACCAGTAGTGTTTTGATGTGTCATAATCAACTGTACGCGTCGATGGATCATGTTTTGACAAATACTTTTTTGTTGTCAGGAAAAAGGTATTTACTTTGTGATCCGTACATTTATATTTTATGTCCCGCTTTGATTCAAGATGTTGGGCCAAGTTCATGTAGTTTTACTTTTTATTACATAATATTATATGCATAGGAACAGGAAGCACGCATCACGAGAGGCAAGTCTCAGTGACACTTACAGACTTAATATTTGCCTCTGGAGATGTTACAAAATATATTTAGTTAAAGTCTTCTCAAGGTCTATTGAGTTGGACCATGTGTGCATTTGTAGATGACTTAGGTTATCATTAGTTCAAACGTTGGAAAGCGCTTTCCCCCAGATAAAAATCTGTCCAGTGGATAACGCAATGATATTGGTCTCCCTAATACTTATCCGCTGGATAGTGATTTATCCGGTACATAGCGCTATCCAACGTTTGAACAATGGGGGCTAGGATGGTAAAGGACCGGAGACGTCAAAACCTTGTGTGACAAGCATGACAGTAATTATGTTTGAAAAAATGTTCTGTCAAACTTCCTTGTAACAAATCTTTTTGTAAAAGACCAGAACACAGTCATGTTAAGTGCATCCTTGGAGACCCAAGGGCAGTCAGTCGGGCTGGGAGAAAAGGTGCGACAAAAGTTTTCAAGCGCGGGTGGAAGAGCCCCTGGGTACTGACTCTCACCAGACCATTTCCAAAGGGTCAAGCGAATGCTGGCTCCTGATTGGGCACAAAAATGCTTTGTATTATTGTGCCCAATCAGCAAATAGCATCTCCAGAGTTATTTTCATGAGTTCGTACACGACAGCTATTGACTCGATCACGGCCTGTCTGGTTCATGCACCAAAGAAATGAATGTAGTCAGGAAACTTTCAGTTTGATATAAACTCCCCATTTTAAAGTACTGCCTACCCTAAAACTAAAACAAGAAAATGTACTTAAGTGTATTTTTATTACAACAGGTATTCACGATTACGTAAATATTAGGGAGTTTAAGATATGACGATAGCTGATGGCCTCAAAAATGTCGCTTGAAAAGTGAATTCGCGTTTTTTCAGTCTCTATCGTAATTATTCCAACATACTTACTTTGACCTGACTGACTGCCTCTAGGTCTCCGAGGATATGTTAAGAGAAGATCGCAGTGAAACACGCAACTAATAGCCCTGTCATGTTAGTTGCACACAGATTTTCTGCCTTTCTCTTCTTTCTACTGTCCTATTGGATAAGTAAACTACAGTGGTAGCTCTCTTAATGGACACTGTGGTAAACAGATTGGACAGTTCTACTTATGGCTGCGTTAACAAAACACTGTTATTCTCAACTCCCATACAAACTCTATATTTTTACATTCACCAGTTATGGACACTTTTTGCGTGTTCCAAGGGTGTCTGCTTACGAGAGCTCCCACTGCACAATTAAAGCAGACCTCTTGCATACACTAGCCTTGGGCTATAGGACATGACTTTCTTTGCGTGCGGCCGCTTTTTTTTGTTTATCTATACTGACCAAGAGCCTGGCACAGGCCACATTAAGGTTGCCCTCAAAGTACAAGGCAGATGAGGTAGTCTGCTTCCCAGAGGCTCATACAATCTATATTGGAACTGTATATTCCTATAGTACATCTGGGGGGAACGGTGGACAGGCAAATTCATCAGCTGGAAACAATCACTCTCAAGGAGCAAACAGTGATTCTGATTCTGGGAGTCCATCACAATCTGAGGTAAGCCATTAGAAATCAGCTTGGGAAGCTCTTCAGGTTCTTCCATGGGCCCAAACAAGAAGGTCACATCATGCTGATCACTGCATCCTATGCAAAGAGTGCAAACTAAGATTAGTCATGACAAGGGGCCATAAAAGAATAACTAAAGCTACAGTGTGCGGTGTGTATTTTTTCAAACCGTGTTAAAGGGGTTGTGTCACGGCAGTCCAGTTTATTTTGTTTAATTTTGCCAATTACTCGCCCTCAATTGCTATGGAACTTAAGGAGTAAGCAAAGAAATTACATGTAAATGACAAAATCAGAGATCTGAGACAAACAAATATGTCTCCTCAGCGTTATTTTTGAAGTTGCAAGAGGCAGGGATCAACTTTGAAAAACTTTTAGGCTGAACAGTTTTGCAAAAACCCTAATTTCAATCTGTTTCAATCTTCTTCCGTTTTGCCCATCCATGGCATCTGTTGTTTCTGTTATGTTATTTTAACCTTCCTGTAAAAATTTAAGCAGTTATTTTTATGTTTCTCTTAATTTAACGGGCGTTTTGTAATTTCCTAATTTGGCTGAATTTCGTGACACATTTCCTTATAATTTGACATCTTTCATAATGTTAACAAGGCTGTGCTCTAGTAACACCCGGTGGCCCATGGTGCCTAACTTTTGCTCCTGGGTGACTAGAAAATTTAAGAGTCAGTTTTTTAAATGTGGCTAAATGTAATTTACGCAAAGTTAACCTCGAAGCAATGCTGGTCAGCTGTTTCCCCAGCTATAGTAGGGGTGGCCCGATGCCTCTAGCAGAGGCACCTCGTGACTTATATGCGCAGTTGCTTGCTTGCAGTTCTTCGCAAAGTGTTGTCGCAATTGCTTGCTTTTTGCGTGCCAGTTTGTGCTTTGGTTTTTCCCATCCCTCCCTCCCTCTTGGCGTGGGCTAGGTAAGTATTGGGTCAGTAAGTATTCCACTGAATTGTTCAGTGTGACGGTGCCTGGTGGGGGCCACTCGCAGGGTTGCCATGGATACCTCCTCCTCATGCTAGAGCATTGCCCGGCTCCACCAACTTTGTAGGCCCAATGCCCAAGCTCATCTATTGGTGATGAGTTTAAATGATGTCTAACTTAGGCCGTGGCTTAGAAAATCTTTGGACCTCCAGATCTCATCCTTAGTAGTTTATTTTAAGAGAAATGTTTTTCTATTCTACGCCTTATGCCTTCAAGCAACTTTTCATGATAAATGGTGTTAAGATGAAAGCATAAGGTAAACTGAAAATGGCTTAGAACATGTTTTTGGTAAACACTGGCTAAAATAACTGGCCCTAAGTTTTTTCATAGAAGTAATACACAGGGCACCTTGGATTTCACAGTTTCAGAGCATTGGGCTCCCTTCAATTTTTCTTAGAGTGCAGCCCTGGTTAACTAACTGTCCCTGTTCATTCAATTATTTATTTATAAGCATTTACTATCTGCTTTCCTCAGCAAGCCACTCTTAGTTTTCTGCAAGCAGTACAGCAAATTAAAAGCCCAAAGCATAGGTAAGAGTTCAGAGGTTTCTTGTGTATTGTACTTGTGCAAAGGTCTAGCTAATGCTTGTCAATGTTGTCAACCTGGAACTAACATTAATAGCTGTTCTGTTGAGATGAGAGAAGCTTATTGGTAGTGAGCAAGCTCTCTGTTGGACAGCAATTAAACAAACAAGTGTTCAATGAACTGGCTCACATGCAAAACCCAGCAGGGAAATGTATAATGATAGATCATTCTTAGCTGTGTTTTTGAGTGACTGTCCATCTTTTGTTATTTCAGTGCATCATCAGTCCAAAGTGACCATGGCAACCACCATGTTACTCCTAAACAAGAAAAAATCCCGTCAAACATAAAGGTACTTAAATGTGTAATGTTTTATTATTTTTATTAGTGATGCGATAAAACTTTTCCTGGTTGTAGTTGTGCTTATTTTCATTGGTGTTTTGTACGTAGCATTTCACTTCTATTTGTTTTTTAAATTTTCTTTTCTTTAGGCCATTGCTATAGGGCAACAAATTAAAGTACAGCCAAGGTAAAATTATTTACACTATGTTAGTATTTGTTGTTGAGACTGTAGCAGAAGATTTTTATTTGTCTTAGGTGTGGTCAATTTGTTGTCAGTTTTGTGTAAATCTTCCGTTATTTTTGCTCAGTCACACATTAACATACATAGAAACAGAGGAAAACAAAAAATTGAACCAGTCATGAATAATTTGGACATCAACATTAACCACCCAAGATATTAGAGATCTTAAGATACACCGTTTTCATGTACGGGTATTGGTAAATTACCGGTATGCATAGCCATGAATTACATGGGTAGGTTGCCTGTTACCGCAGAGAAACGGCAGGCTACCAGGTAGAACGGTAACAACATTATCACATCTGAAAAATAATGGTTGCCTTTCATTTAACCATGTGGCAAACATGGTCGCCTACCCGTACCCTTAGGCAGAAACGTTGCATCTTCAGGTCACTATTATCAAGGTAAAGAGTCCCACTCACACAGTAATGAGAAGAACTGACATGACAGGAGGGAGGAAAATTAAAGAAATTGCATCTAAAACATACTGTATTCAAATCACTTGAGATTGACTAGCCTAAGAAAACAGCCAACATTTTGCAACTTCACCACTGGTTTCCATGCAAAATGACATCTGAGGAACAAATGCAGAAATTCCATACTGATGAGGGGTCACTACCCAGGAGCACATTTTGGTGGGTTTAACTTGCCACCCCAATGCTCCTGCTTCACTGTTAAAAATTGTGTGCTATTTTTTTCACCCTTTTTTAATAGTACGTCTAGTTGTAGTCATGCACCCATTTCCATTGGACGTCCGTCTTCGTACCCACCTTCCACAAAAGGAAACCCACAAGTTAGTGATGTGTCACCACTTTCTCTCAGTACCACACCTCCCGAGGTTAGTATTGGTATACACCAGGAGCCAATAACCTCTACAGTAGCAATAAATTTCCAAGTACTTGTGAGACTCTGCATGGGTATTTCCAAGGAAATCAAAGTCCCAGTGATCATTGTTGATGAGAGGATGATCATAGATATTACGCCAACAATTGCATTGCCTGTCTGATCAAGTTTGACAATGTTAATGATGTGCGACGACAGCAAAGAAATGTACAAAAAGTGTGCTGCACATTCAAAGTATTTGTTTTGCTATTAAATCAGTTACTTTCTTTATATTCTTGTTTTCATCATCATCATGACATTGTGGTTGTGCAGGCTCACTAGTAGCAGTCAATCTACCACACATAACAATAAATTTTTGGTATTCAACAACTTTGTAGAAAAACCAATGATTTGATGGAAAATGCCAGGTACCCATAGAGAGGTTCACTCGCGTCACGGCATAATCACCAACCTTTTTTGTAAGAATGATTTTGGTCCAAATTTGGAATATGTGTTAGGTCTCACAAACCTGTCAGCAAAACATACAGGCCTGAAAATGGTA